GCAGATAACACAGAAAGAACTGAAACTCATAAATTAATTAGATAATCTCCTTCCAGCCTCAGCTGGCTCCAATGAGGGCTCTTTAAAACCTCATCAGCTTGTTTGGACCTGTAGAGGCTGTTCAGGAGGATCTGGAGCTCCTCCTGTTCATGGCCAAGTGTGCATTCCACACTTGCAATGATTTCCTCTTGCTAAGTCTGGGATAAAGGCGTCTGAGCTCAGCTCAATGACATGCATTTTAAATATTGAGTGGAAAGATGGCTAGAAGGCCAAAAATGTGAGTTCAATTTGTTTAATTCTGGTTTAGCACCACTCATTGCCCCTGGTGGTTTTCCTGCTCTGTAAACAGCAAATGTATCAGGGACTGAATCAAACCCAAACCCTGCACCTCTACAAGGAGTACATTAACTTGTCAGAAACTCATTAAAATGATAATTTGTGAGTGTTTTAATGAAACTATTTTGACAGAGAGACAGGAGAAGCAGCAGAAGGATACAAGAAAACCGTGAGTTAATTACCTGACCTTAAAAGCCTCACCTAAAATATCAAAAGAAAAAAAACAGTGCTTATTTTTGCTTCAACACTTGTGACACTCCTCACAGATACATCTTCTTTACCTGTGGTGCTATAAAAGACCTTTTTGAGACATGAATGATTGGGAGAAAAACAATGCTCTTACATTAAACATCTTTATTAATATGGATACTCTGTGATTTAGCTGTGCCTGGCTTCAACCGTGATGTTTTGGAAGACAAAGTACAACCAGAATTTAGAATGAATGTGAGAAATAAGTATTTGTGGATGGATACTTCACTGAAAAGTCGAGTTTAATCCTTATTCAAATTGGATTTCCTTTGAGAAAGCTTAAGGCTATCAATCTATTATCAGACAACAAAACTGACTATTACTCATTCCAGTTGAGTTTGGTCGTTTTTTTATTAAATCTGAAAGAAGTGTGGTGAACTAATGTGTTTGTAAACCACAGCAGATTGAAAGTCATGTTTAATTTGGGAACAAAAGGGCTTTGGTGCAGTTTGAGTGTCCTGATCCTTTTTCCTTTCCTTTTGTCCCTTGCTGGTTTCTCCTGCTCTGTTGTTGTTGTGGTTTGTTCTTTACTCATCCTGGGCTTAGGGCAGGGCGAGGGATGTGCTGGTGTGGGATTCTCACCTGGCTGAGGTGTCTGTGCTCACAGCTGCTCCACAGAGACCCCCAATGTGACACAAAACTGTTTCCATGGCAGAACCTCTGAAACCTGGAGGGAAATCCTGGTGGCCATGGATGCCTGTGACCGCGTTCACAGGGGTTCTTGGATTGGGGAAGAGACGAGGGTCTGGCTCCATGTTTCAGAAGGCTGATTTATTATTTTGTGATATATATTACATTAAAACTATACTAAAAGAATAGAAGAAAAGGTTCTCATCAGAAGGCAGGCTAAGAACAGAAAAGGAAAGAATGATAACAAAGGTTTGTGGCTCGGCTCTCTGTCTGAGCCAGCTGACTGTGATTGGCCATTAATTAGAAATAACCCCATGAGACCAATCCCAGATGCACCTGTTGCATTCCACAGCAGCAGATAACCATTGTTTGCATTTTGTTCCTCAGGCCTCCCAGCATCTCGGGAGGAAAAATCCTAAGGAAAGGATTTTCCATGAAAAGATGTCTGTGACAGATGCCAGGTCTGCCTCCCTTTCACATCAACACTATTGCTTTCCTCCCCTCCTGCTCTTTAAAATAATATTGATTTGTTTGTTTTGCCAAAAGAATGCTTTTAGGGGACCAGCCAGGAGCAATGAAAGTCACAGATACTAATTAAGGCAGTCACACATTAATAGATTGCTTTTCTAGAGGTTTGAAATCACCATACGTTGTAAAGTCAAAATTAATCCTCTTTAAGTGACATGTAAACGAGGACAGGTTATTATTTGGAAAACAGGAGCAAAACCTGTAGCCTCTACCTCATGAAGTTGTTTTGGTCCAGAACCACAATAATCAGTGTTGCTTGGGGCTGGAACAGATGCCCAGGGTTGTGATTAAAGATATGTTTATGCATACGTTTGAAATAAAGCCCCAGAGACGAGGGCACAGCAGGATTCTGTATCCAGGCAGTTCTCCTGAGCAGGGAGGGGACAGCAATGACATTGCTTACCTCCTTCCCTTTTTCTGAGCAATACTTTAAGGAATAAAACTCGCACTAACAGCGGGAGTCCAGCTGAGAGGTTTTTCTCTGAATGTGCTGCTCAGTCACGGCACAAGCAGCACTTTAGGTGGATTCAGTTCCATTTTTCCCCCCTGATAGTTGTATCATTAGGATTTTGCTGGAATTTCAGATGTTAAGTATACAATAACACAAAATGATTAATGGCCCATCCTCGGCAACGTGTCACGTCAATAAAACTGGTCTTTAATAGCTCTGCTACAATTCCCAAGCTGAAAGAATTTCAAGAGTCACTTAAGACAAAACCTATTTTTCTTTATCAGAATTCCTTAGCAGTTCTGTGGCTGAGCACAGAGGACAGGAAGGGCTCAGGAACCACACAGAGGATTATTGCCCCTCTGCTCCCATTCTCTCACTCCTGTTCAGACAGGAGAACAACAGAAATATTGCTTGCAGTTCCTTTCCTGTATCTCCCACCATCCCAGTAACCAAATTGACCTGTGCTGCAGGAAAAGGGCTGGAAATATCACTGACTCTAATAGAACACAGGAGCTGCGTGCCCAAAAACATTAATTGGATACTCAAAAAAAGCATTTGTTTCTTTTTGTGGGACCAAAAAAATCCTTTATCAGACCTCATCCACTTCTCTTGGGGGAGTGTCTGGAAATCAGGCATGGATTGGTTGGAAGGTGAGGACAACTTCCAGTTTTTTTCATTGCCCCAATGTCCATTTCTTGTGCCCCAGGAAGGCAGATGCAGCTCCTGGGGTCAGGTAGGTCTGCTGAAAAGGGAATGGTTCATTAAAGGGAAAAACAAAACAAAAAGCTCTAGATGTCTGGAGATGCTGCTGCTGAAAAGCTCCAAAATTACAATACTCAAACTGATTGCATGAAATTTCCAGCTGTTAAAAGCTGAACTTGATTCCTCCTTTAATCACTCTGAACACATAATACATGTCTAAAATTAAAGGTCATCCACTCACCCAGGGCCCTACAAACGTGCTTTGACATTAAAAGGTTTACAATTAAAATCCACCAGGGCTGGGAGGCAGCAGCAGGGATGGGGCAGGGCTGCTCCTGGGGCCAGGGACCGTTTTTGTTTGGTGCTGGGGCTGAGAGAGAGGGTGGGCTCAGGCAGGGGGACCCTCCTTGTGATGGATTCACAGGGGTCTGAGGGTGAGGGAGGAGACGAGGAGCTGACTCCATGTTTCAGAAGGTTGATTTATTATTTTATGATATATATTACATTAAAAATATACTAAAAGAATAGAAGAAAAGGTTTCATCTCAGAAGGCTGGCTAAGAATAGAATAGGAAAGAATGATAACAAAAGCTTGTGGCTTGGACTCTCTCTGAGCCAGCTGGGCTGTGATTGGCCATTAATTAGAAACAACCCCATGAGACCAATCCCAGATGCACCTGTTGCATTCCACAGCAGCAGATAACCATTGTTTGCACTGAGGCCTCCCAGCTTCTCGGGAGGAAAAAATCCTAAAAAAGGATTTTCCATAGAATGTGTCAGTGACACTGGGGATCACCAGGACCAGGCACAGCCCCAGATGTGCTGGGGATCAGCAGGATGATGCTCAGGCACAGCCCCAGATGTGGCACAGCTGGGCTGCGGTCAGGCTGCAGCCAAACAAGCCAGTGCCAAGTGCAGAGCAGCAAGGGGGGCTCAGCCTGGCCCAGGGCACCCCCAGAGCTGCCCCTGAGCCCCGGCAGTGAGAGCTGCAGAGCTCTCAAGGCCACCCCACTCTGATGCATCAATGTTTTGGAGAAATCTGGCTGTTCCTCTGCTTTTAAAGAAAATTATTTCTTTACCAGCAGAGCAGAGAGTCTCTTTTCCTTTGCATTTCTGTCAAAAAACAATTGGTGTGTCAGGCTGCATTATGTCTCATGGTTTGGTGAAACACGAGCTGACGTACTGTAACCAAAAGGGATTTGAACATATCATGTCAGAAACTGGGAGCAGGAATACAGCCTCTTGCTCTCTTTGTCTTGGCAGGAGTTCTTGTTTTCAACTCTTGTTTTAATTCCTCTTGATTGCCAATTTAAAAAAAAAAAAAATCACTGCAGAGACAAGTGTCCAGTTCTGCTGCCTGTGCTCAGTGTGCCTTTAATCTTTCCTTCTGCTCCTTGAGAAAAAAACCATGAAAGCAGAAGAAAGTCTACCCAGGTCAGAGAATTTGCTTACAAAAATCACCTGTGAGACTTGACAACCTGAAGAAAGATTAATGAAAACAAAAAGAAATTTGGAAATTAAAGAAGCAAGAAAAAAACCCCAAGGAATCAATAGAAATCAGCGCATAAGAGAGCAGAGAAACCTGATGCCAGTCATCATCATTTTGGGGGATGATACGCGTCAAAGAGTGAAACCGAGAGATTGGCAGTAATATTTTTAAAGGAGAAATCCAGGGCAATTTCTGCTGCTGTCTCAGCGTGATGGGATTAGGAGGCAGCCCCAGGCATCACCTTGCCCTTGGGCAGTCTGGGTTTGTGTGCCCCTGACCTCTCCTGATATCCTACCCAATTTATAAACTCATTCATTCACTGAACTGGCTGCTTCACACTGGTGCTTTTCCAGACACTGAAGAGAAGGAAATATAATCCCATTAGTGTTTGTTCTTCTCACCACTTTGTTACTCACTCTCTTCTCTGCCACTGCTCTGTGCCTTCTTCTCTTTTCCTTGGCTCTGTTCTTCCCTTTCACATCCCCTCAGCTCATTGTCCTTTTCCTTTCAACCTTCCCCTTTCTTGCTCTTCAGTTGCCTTATGAACTCCATTCTTTTCCTGTAATATTTTACATTTTTTCTCACTAGAATATTCTTCTCTTGTTTTGCCCAGGAGTTGAATTTGCTGGAAAGGGCTCAGAAGGAGCTGCTGCCTCCCCAGTTCCCTTCTGCAGTGAGAGTTACCCGAGCTGAGGCTGCTTTGGCCTGCATTAATATTTACAGGCCTGGTTTATGGATCTGAAGATTGATTTAGCACGAGAGTAATGCAGGGGAGCAGATGAGCCATGGGAATGGTGAGCTCTGCTTTGCTGAGATTCATAAATCCAAAAGCCATGCTGAGGTGAAGAGCTTTCAGAGGAGCAGCACCTAATGCCTGAGAATCATTGGATGTCTGAAGTCTTAAACAAGTTGGAAACTCATCTTTCACAGGTAGCAAAAAATGATCTTTAATGGTTAAACACATTCTCCAAACTCTTACAGAATTACAGCCTTTCTCTTTAAAATGTATAGAGTCTAAGGAGTTCAAGGAACAGCAGTTTTCCCAGGCAGTCAGGTGATAAATGTGCTATTTGGTAACATCAGGTATGCATTTTCTTACAAAAGCACAGCATATTTAAGATACTCTTGGCACTCTCATCCTTTTCTTTTTCAGAAATTATGGGAGTTTTTTTGCCACTGAGTTTTTTGTCTTCTAGACACTAAACCCAATTATTTTTCAAGGTCAAACCATGCAGTACAGATTTAATTTCAGCATGGACACGTGAAATTGTAATCAACTCACAGTGATTATTAACTCCAACAGAATATTCCTGTCACAAGTGGAACACAGAACGACTTTTACCACCCCTTGCTGCAGAACTGCTGTGCCTTTAGCCCAGCTAGAAAGGAACATTCTGGAATAAAATGTGACATTCAGGGGTTGGTTAGTAATGGCAGCATTAGAGCTCTGAAGCAGAGGATTTAACCCATTTAACCTCATTTAACCCAGGATTTAACCCTTGCTGGCAGGGACAGGCTCAGTGTCTGCCACACAAACCTGGGCTTTGAGGGGACACTTTCCTCCCCTGGCAGTGGGAGGGAAGGCACCTGAGAAATGCACCTTGCAGCAGTCAAGGACTCTGCTTTCTCTTTGTGTTCTGTATTATTTCGTGCTAGAGAAAGCGAGCTGAACTCCAGGGTGAGCCTGGATGTGTATTTGTGTAGTCCACGCACAGATGCTGCCTTTTACCTGTAAATCCATTTTGCTTTCAGACAAGCAGAAGAAACCATTTTCCTTGAACCACTGAGCTCTTCAAACTCTACCAGTGAGACATGCCTAAACCAGTCAGATTATTTTGCTATTTCCTGCACACTGATGTATTGTGAGCACTTCTCCTCAGTTTAGGGCTAAAAGCTTGACTTGTATAACCAAGGCCCATTATGAAAAAAAAAAAAAAAAAAAAAAAAGTCAAAAGCAGCACACAGTGTGCAATTAAAGAGTAAAACTCAAAAGAGTTCTTTTTTCAAGAGGGTTTTTTCCTATCAGCCCATCATATCATGCAAAGTGATGTTTGTATAGCTGCTGTGAGTGTCTCGTGCGTGCTATACCCACACCACAAAAATGCACATTTGGGAAAACAAAGGTGGAAATGCACAGGAGAAGCCACTGCAGAGGAAAACCAAAATAGACCTGTGGGGACCTTCCCTGGATTGTGAATAAAGTGTGAAGCTGGGCACAGGGTGTGAGGAGAAGTGTGGTTACACGTGCCTTGGTTCTACTCAAACACTGAAAGGGATCCAGTGCTAATGGAGCCTTTTCCAGCACCATCCATTGTTCTCCTGGAGGAATGGGGTACCCAGTGGTACTTGTTCCTTGGCAGAAATGATGTATTTGGTGTTTCCATTTTGGCAAATCAGCCCGGAGTATCCCAGAGCCCTGCTCTTTGCTGAGCCCCACTGCAGCCCCTGGAACATCTCTGGTATTGAGAGCTGGCTAAGGAAATTAGAGTTCCACAGCTTGGCAAAAGTTTGGGGAAAAAACTCACCCAAAGCCCCTGTGAATGCTGTTTGACTTTGTACCTGTTCTACATTCATTACTCTGATGGGAAAGTTTGAAAATAGAGCAGGAGGTGTAAGTGTTGCATTGAACACAGTGGCTTTCAAAAGTGTCCTGAACATCACTGAAGGAGGATCTGATCATTCCATGTTTGGCTGTTTTTACTGCTGAAAAATCTCTGGTCTTTATCAATATTTGAAAAGTCAAACCATTCCCCCCCAAATGATTAATAGAATCCCCTAACATATAGGGGAAAAGGTTTAAATTTTATTTTTTTAAAAGTAATCTAAGAATAAATTGTTTTCATATAGATTTTTTTTTCTGAACCTATATTGAAGCATTTGAATTGTGCTCATGGAGCTACATTTATAAGAAAAAGTATTATCTTTTATTAGATCACATAGTATATCTTGAAAAAGAAGCATCTCAGGCTCACAGATGCTTTCTTGGCCCCTCTGCAGGGATATGGAAAATAATCTTGCTGGGAGGAAGAGAGCTCAAGGGAGAATATAGATGTCCTGTTAATCAGGACATAAAAAAGAAAGGAGAAGCTGTGATGTGACAGTGACTGGTGGGAGAAAATCTGGCAAACAGCAGAGAGAAGATTGGGAGATGTGACAATTTGGGAAATGTATGTATAATTTATAAATGCAGACTTATTTTATCAATTTCATGTAGCACTCCTGCTCAGTCTGTATTTAATGTGCCGCTGGCTGGCTGGGGCTGTGCCATAGATCACACAGGGAGCGGGCACAGCAGAGACCTGGGACAGATCGCAGCATGGAGTTTCTGCTCAGAGCAGCACCAGTGCTAACCAGGCTGGTTAAACCAAAGGGAACCGATGGGATCAGGCTTTCTTTAAATGGGAGCAGTGGGAGGGCAGAGGGGAGAGCAGCTCTGTGAGCTGGGGGGCTGCAGGCTTGGGGCAATGCTCCTCACTGGGGTCACCCAATGTGGAATTCTTCTTCACTCGGGGCCACCAAATGTGGTGCTGGTGTTCACAGGGGTCCCAGGATGAGGGGAGAGATGGGAGTCTTGACTCCATGTTTCAGAAGGCTGATTTATTATTTTGTAGTATATAGTATATCAAAAGAAAATGGTGTACTAAAACTATACTAAAAGAATAGAAGAAAGGATTTCATCAGAAGGCTTGAGAAGAACGGAATGGAATGGAATGAAATGGAATGGAATGGAATGGAATGATAATAGAATGATAATAAAATCTTGTGACTGACCAGAGAGTCCGAGCCAGCTGACTGTGATTGGCCATTAATTAGAAACAACCACATGAGACCAATCCCAGATGCACCTGTTGCATCTCACAGCAGCAGATAACCATTGTTTGCATTTTGTTCCTGAGGCCTCCCAGCTTCTCAGGAGAAAAAATCCCAACAAAAGAATTTTTCATAAAATGCGTCTATGACACAGGCTGACCAGCAGGGCACACAGGGCATTAACGCCACAGAGGAATTGTCCAAATCTCCAAGGTCTCACAGGGTCACAATGTCCCAAGACAAGGTTTGGATTCCCTGGATTTCTGTTTGCCGTTTATTCTGAGAGAAGTCTGGGTGCTTTCTCCATTAACATGGCCTTGGCAATAATATAAATTCACAGTCTGCACTCACTTTGTAAGTTCTGTAGGGTCTCACAAGATGAAACTGCAGCCTGCAGTGCTTGGTGTCTGGAGTGGGAGCTTATCTCATTCTCCTGGCTCCCGCTGTTCAGACTTTGGTTCTTTCTGCTCATTTTACTGATACAAAACGTTCAGGTTTGGCTTTCCATCAGTGAGTGTTTACCACAATCACCTTCCCTTCCTCCTCCCTGGCTATTATGGCTTTGAAGAACTCTAAACGAGGGCCGAGCACAAGTTTGTGTGTGTGTTCTCCTGCCCTGAACAGGGAGGATGTTTGAGAGCAGCTGGGGAGGAGGCAGGGGCTCCTCTCCACACCAGCACAGGTCAGCACACGGATGTTTGTTCTTCCTGCCTCCTTTAAAAGGTAAATACTGTTTAAATTGTGGGGATTTTTTCTTTCACAAGTCTTTAAGCGTTTAGGATCACCCAGGTCCTGCTCCTGTGCAAACCACAGAAGGTCTGACAGAAGAACAACGTGTTCGTTTTGACAGAAGTGTCAAATTTGTCTTAAATTTTTTTTTCATTTGCCATATAACGCCACTGAAGGAAGCACAGAGGAAGCACTTGAGAATTGCTTTTCAAAACCAAGTTCTTCTGGCAAATCAAGAGACTTTTTTCAAACAGTTATTTGCTATTTTTAGTTCCTGTTGTAATATCCACTTTTCTGGTTGCTTTTTTTTTTTCTTTTGTACCAGAAGGAAAAACAGTATCTTTAAGGAGAAAACTCGATTTCTGAGGCTGGTCTTGGTTCTTAGAGCTAATCTTACTCAGCTTCTACTACTTTTTGTTTGTTGTTTATAACAAGAAGTCTTCTCATGCAAAGCAAACATTTCTGAAAATGTGTAAATATTTCCTTTGGAAATGGAGGCTTTTAAGCCAATTTCAGTGAAATTATGCTCACACTGATGTATCAGAGCAGAAGCAGCACACTGCATGTCTTGCTTAGGCTGGGATATAAAACTGCACTTTGGGGCAGCCTTGCTAATTTAATTGTTTCATTTCTGTGCAGGCTCTCTTTAATTTTTTTCTTGAGTTTTTTTCAAATTATTCTGGAAGGCATCTTATCCCATTCTAATGAATGTTCAATTTGCATGTTTTGAAAAATAGCTTTTTAAAGATTTGGAATCTGAAAACTAAACAAGAGAAGTATCAGGAAAAATGCAGAAAGGGTCCCTTTAGCTGCAATTCCAGAACAGGAAAGAAGTTGTGGGATGTTCTTTACAGGTGCACAAGAACAAGGTAGGAGTGCAGTCCAAGGTCTCCTTACTCACATCTCATTTAGTTCTTATCAGTGTGATAATGAAGCACAGCTGCATTCTTTTAACATGGAACACTATAAACCAATATATATTCATGATTTACCTCTTTTCTGACAATGTAAATTTCTTTATTTTCTATATCTAGCTTTAATAAAAACAGATTATAAATTATAAATTTCTGTGTTTTCTGTACCTATATATAGTAAAAATAGATTAAAAATTATAAATTTTTATATTTTCTGTATCTGGCTATAATAGAAATAGGTAGATTATAAATTATAAATTTCTGTATTTTCGATATCTATATATAATAGAAAGAGGTAGTTTATAAATTATTAATTTCTGTATTTTCTATTTCTATATAATAAAACCAGGTAGATGATTATTATGGTGTCTTACCACTAGAGGTGTAAGTTTAGGAGAGAATTTAAGACAGACATCCAAATTAAAAGCAGATTCATGCTTTTGACTTAGAAGTCATGGTGGTGCCATGAGGAGCTGGAATTCCTGAGCCTGTGTGGAAGGGCTGTCTTCTCCTCCTCCTCCTCCTCCTCCTCCTCCTCCTCCTCTGCTAGGATTTGGCTTTGCCTTTCCATTCATCGTGGCCAAGATTTTCTGACCAAAGTTTCTTTTTCCTGACCAAGGTTTCTTTTTCCTGAGCAAACTGGAGCCCGGTTCTGCTGCAGCACTCAGCACCAGGTCAGCCCCAGACCCCGGGAGCAGCCCATGATGTGTGCTCAGAAACCACAACTCAGTCCTCAACGGATGCTTGACAGGTGCTGTAGGCAAATGTTGCTTTAGCTCCCAAAAATTGCATTTGAAGGAGTCTCTGGCCTCAGGGATGCTGAGCCTGTGCTTCTGCATATTTCAGTTCCGCGTGGAGCAGAGGCATTGCTCAGGACATTTTATGTCCTGTTCCATTAGAGATTTGTCCATTTCTATTAACTCATGGGGTTTGAGAAGTGGGAGAACGTCCTGTGAATTTCTTGGTGTAATATGTGAATCCTGGAATGAGCATGTAACACATTTTTTTTTTTTTTGTATGTCTGTCCTATCTGCTGACCTCCCTGTGTCTGAAAACCATCCCTACCAGTGCCTGTCTTGCAAATATTTCCTCTTCTAAGCAGAACATCTTCCTGCTCTTTCTGTTCTTAACGCAGCTGAGTCTCTGCTGGAGCTCTGAGCCAGTTCTGAGGCAGTGGTGTCCCCTTGGGTGAAGAAGCAGCATCATCCAGGAAACACCAACAGGGATCAAGAGTAGCTTGAACATCTCCCCAACCAGAGAAATCCCATCTAGAGGTAAAGGGAAGTTCCTAGCTGGCTCCTTTCCACAGTGACCACACACCCTGGTCTAGTGCTCAGCCAGCTGGAAACAAGAGGGTGCAGAAAGGTATTTTTTGACTTAGGTGCAACTTTCATTTTACATCTTGGGCTCTCCAGCAGTAAACACAAGTGAAAGTAAAATACCTGCAAAAAACCCCTAACATTCTCAAAAAACTGCAAACCCTGCTCAAAGAGGGCTGGACAGAGCCATTGCTCAGGATTGTGTCCATTCAGGTTTGAGCATCTCCCCAGAATCATTAAGGAGGTGTTAACGCGGCTGAGCAGCTGCTACAGCCAGAAAGCAATTACGGTTTCAGCAGGACATGGTTTGCTTAACAAGGCCTTCCCATTTTTCCTGATGACTGCTGGGACAGAGCAGGGATTTAGGAGGAGCAGAAGAAGCAGAATTGGACTCTTTAAATAATTACAAACTTCTTCATCCCGTGTAGTGCCTGCACAATGTGGAACCTGGTGATGGAGCAAGGTCTCAGAAGAGATTTAGGGAAATGTTGAGTCTGGTGATGAATAACCAGTGAAAAATCTTCCCCCAGATATCCCAGCTGGAATTCCAGCACGCGCTCACCCCAAGCTCTGCCACGTTTGGTGTGGAGGAGCAGATGTCCGATGCTGCTCCAAGAGCAGCACGAGGCGCAGCGCTTGCTGTTGGATTTGTAACTGTGTGGTTTCTGCTTGGGGAGCTGTGAGTACATCTCTTCTGTTATTAGAGATAACAAGTATCTATTAATATTGAACTTAAATGTCTTTGCATATTTAACAACTGTATTAGTTTAAATATGCAAACAATAGCAATTAACTTATTCTGGATTTACTTCGTCACTAAAATATTTGTACTCCAAACCTGGGATATTTTGCAGGTTCTGAGATTGACTTTGCAGACAGCTTGTCAGTGAGTGGGGGTTGCTTGTGTGGCCTGGTGAGATGTTTCTGACAATCTGTTGCCAGAATATCTGTCTATCAATAAGTTTATCAGCAGACTTCATTTATTAAAGAGAAAATTAGCAGCTAGCTTTGTTTTTCTTTTCTGCTTAAGGAGTGGAATGAATTACCGGTTGGATTGTTTTGCTGTTGTGTGTTTGTGGTGGTGGGTTTTTGGTTTTTTTCACCGCAGTATTTGCAGTTTGATTTGAATTACCCGAAGGAATAAATTCCATTTTCAGTGATAAGGATTTAAAGAGAGCACCAAGGTGTTACTACAGTCAGACAACATCCACATTAAGCATTCCCTGAAAGTAAAGATTTGCATGTTCCACGTTAATTATCCCACCTCTAATTGCACCCCCTTGCCATAATACCCTAATGAAAGTGCTATTTATATTAATAAAGCATCACACTCCTAGGGACAGCCCACCACACTGCTCCTCACTCTGCATACAAACCCTCTGAAATGAAAAAGGGAGGAAGAGCTCTACCCCAAGCAGAGAGCAGAGAGATGGCAAGCCCAGCCCATCCCCAATCACATCTGACTGCAGACCGAGGGCAGATCAATCCCCAGCCAGCCTCTCCTCCTCCCTCAGGGGAATTCATCCTCTTTATCCACTCAATTAGCATGGAAAATGAACATTCTGGTCTGAGAATATCAGAGATTGGTATTTAGCAATGCTCACATCAACGTGAACCCCTGTGCGTTTTCCATGACCATTGAGGAGGCAGCAGAATTCTGTTGTGAGAGTCCTGTGGCACCCCTGTTTGTCAGATTCTTGTCCTCTGCACCTTGCAGGAGGCTTTAAAAAGCCCAGACTATTGCACTTCAGAGGGAGAAATTTATTTTTTGCCTCTTCTCAGTGGGCTCACTGTGCTGGCTGACACTTCTCAGTAATATTTAATCTCGGTGTGGAGCTGATGCAGAGTGACTCCTCTGAAGCATCTTAGCCCTTCCCTTTAAAATAACTCTGTCACATATTCATAAACAAAAATAGAGGTCAGATAATGTTACTTGTCAGGTCTGACTATGCCCTGGCTTTTATTAGAAAGTGTACAGAGACCAATCTTCATAACAGAACAGCACTGCTGCATTTGAATTACAAGCTTTTTGTCCTTTTCTTATTTGAAAATCCTGCCTGCTTAATTTGGCAATAAATTAAGCACTGCTGTTAAAAGCAGATTTTCATTGGGACTGAAGGAGCAATGTCCCTGCTAAGGAGAAATGATTGCAGAGAGCAGGTCTGGGTCATTCATCCTCACCTCAGCTGAGCCCCAGGACTCTGGATTTGGATCCCAAGCAGATTTAGATTCTCTTCATGGCAAGATCAGCCTTGTTATTAAAACAATGCCATGTTATTATCCTATGAAAAGATGGCTGGATCTGCATATTTCCCTTTTCCCTGCTCCTTTCCCCCACTGGGCTGACATCTCTTACCCACCCTGCCCTCTCTCCTGTATAAAGTCTGTGGCCCATTAGGCTCAAAAGGGAAAAAAAGATATTTATATTAAATAGATATATTTACTTATATTAAATAGATATTTATACTTATATTAGATATTTATATTAAATAGATATATATTAAATAGATATTTATATTAAAGATATATATATTTATATTAAATAGATATATATACTTACATTAAATAGATATTCATATTAAATAGATATATAATCATCTATATCAAGCATTCTATATCAAGCAATTTTTAATACTTTTATTTACTTATATTTACTTATATTTATATTAAATAGATATTTATATTAAACAGATATATATATATACCCATCTATAAAATTTATTCTATATCAAGCAATTTTTAATGCTCAGAATTAATTTCTCAACAGGAAAGTAAAATTATCTAATAATATACTTTACTAAAGCTGTTCCATGGCAGTGAGCATGATTAAGAAAGAGCAGTTTTCATCCTGCAAATTATATTTTGAAATTAAATTTTAATAACACAGTAATGGTGTCACTCATGTTTCCTATATTTTTAATAAGTGAATTGATTACCTTTCACATCTTGTATAAAACTGGATTTCTTTCCTGTGACAAAACTGAAAGTAGTGCTTTTCCCAAATTATTAAATTATAGAAATTAAGCGGAAATTCCTAAGAGATTTTATTTTCACTCCACATTTAATCTTCCCATTTGTGTTTATAGAGGTTTTCTCTGGCTCTTGTTTCTAAAATGAACCTCCTGGTGAACATTAATTCCCACTGAACCCATATGAGCAGACATTTATTGACACTGTTAAAATAAACTCAGTCCCTCCAAAGAGAGCTTGGTTATACATTTGAATTTGTCTATTTATCTTTGTTTTCCGTCCAAGCCAGTAGCCATCCTGAAGAGCTCTCTTCTGCTGGCTGCAATGACTCGAGTGCAAGAGCTTGGCAATTATTTAATTAATTCTACTGAATATTAATGCCTGTGGTTGCCAAGATATTTATGAGCTGCTTCAGCTCACTCGCCCTGTGGAGCTCACTCCCCTTGGAAAGCCCTTCTCTCTCTAAGATCAGCACCTTCCCCTGAAAAATCCACATATTTGTGGTTTATTTTGCTTTTGCCACGTGGCATGAAGAGGAGTTTGTACTTTTCCCTGCCCACCTGCTTTTTAGAACAGAATTCCTACGGACTGGGGTGTTTTATGTGGAGCCTTTCACTGCATTCAGGAGAGCAAGAACAGCAAATTGAGGGTTGGGACACTGCTGGATTCCCCCAATTTCAGGATAATTCAGAGGAATTATGGACAACCACGACTTTCTGGAGCCTCCATCCATCCCAGCTGGGCTGTGAGGCACCTGAACAGGAATTCCCCCAGGCAGAGCTGATATTAAACTGTAAACTGATATTAAACTGATATTAAACTGAATTCTCTTTAGTTCCCACCTTTAGTGTCAGACAGGCTCCACTGAGGAGCTCTCACTTGTGCAGAATTAACTCCTACAAGCAGGGCCCTGTGTTGGCAGAATGTTAAAAAACCATCAGGATCTCATTCCCAGGGGCACAAACCTCACTGCCCTGCTGTCCCCTGACTTCCCCAGCATTAGTGTTTGCTTCCAAACAAAACCAAGACCTTCAATTACTTGTACAAGTGGGTAGGAACACTGTATAAAACTGTAATTCTGGACCTTTGTCCAGAAAAAAATCCATCCACGATCATGTAGGTGGAAGAAATTGCACCTTGTGGGTGAGCTGTGCACAAAGAGCAAATTCAAGAATAAAATGTTCTCTTAAACATGAAGTGTTTGCTGTACATTAATGCGACCATGGTGCAGTCCTGGTCTGCAAATACATCCCGCAAACACCACAGAGCTCCCCTGAAAACCAGAAAAACTCTGGGAAGGGTCTGAGACAGAGAATTTCTTTCCCATGGCACTCAAAAAAGCAGAAAGTGGAGCAGAAGAAATCTCAGCTGTTCAAAAAGTGGCTGCATATGGTTCCCAACAAATCTTGTAAGCTCAAATTTGGCTAATTCTAAAGAAAAGCTTCTAAACAAAGCCTGAGGGAAAATACTGGAAGAAAATTATTCAGTGGGAATGTGGGCAATTATTTGGGCATTATTTTGGCATTACAGAGCAGAGGTTAAACTTCTGCTGGCAGCAGGTTCCAGGAAGGTAAGGCCAGATCAGCTGTTTCATCTGCTAAATTCAATTAGCTGATTTTCCAAAGTGCAGACTGATGGAGGAGACCAGTGTAGACATTATATGATGTTTGGATCTGTAAGTTTCATAGCTGCCAGTAAATATTGCATTTTCTCAGCAGTTTAGTGTCTCAGAAATCTCCCAGTGGTGAATTCTTCTGGAAAGATAGTTTGGATTGTGAGGAACCTCAGAGCAGCAGCAGCTCTGGATCAGCCCCAGGGATGGGGTGGGATTTTTCCAGGCCCCCCACTCAGGCTGGTTTTATCCTGATTTTATCTTGCCTCCTGTGTTTGCAAACACAACTCAGTTTCTCTGACAGCTCACCCCTCGACCTTCTGCTGAGAGTGACATTCTAGCGCCAGCTCTGGTGACAGTTTGGGATGTGGAT